TTTTCAAACGGCGATCTGCTAATAACAAATCGTGAACTTTGTCGATATTTTCTTCAGTGACAGCAGTTGACAGCCGTCCGCTGCGAGGGTCATCTTCCACACTCTCTCTGCCAGATTTAAAAAGGGCTGTCCATTTTTTCACAGTGATGTACGAAGGAGCAGACTCTCCCAAAACTTCACCCATGTCAGCTTTGATTTGAGATGGGGTCAACCATTTTTTCGTCCGGTATTTTATGACCGCACGAGTCTCCGTCTTCTCCATTTTTGACAAAGCATGTGCACACTGACTATCTGCTAAGCTGTCGTGGCAAAACTTTATGACAAATCAAGCTGAAATTGGTATCGTATCTCTAGCAAAGATGGCTGAATTATTCCCGCCAAAAATAAAATTGATCGCAGCACCGCATATAGGCAAGGCCGCGAACTTTCCGAACAGCCCTTGTAATTCATGGAAAAATTATTTATTTCACAACTCTTACAAATGATTTTACTGTGATTACCACAAACAAACTTATTTCATTCATTGCACTGGCTATTTGTCTTGCTGTCTTTATTTGAGACAAAAGTTGATCTCTTGATCTCATTTTCTGGCTACCTGCTGGACTTGACTATTTTTTTAAATTCCATAATAAGGTATTCTTGAGCAATGCATATCTGACAATGCTTGATAATTTATGAATTCATTCATCAAATAGTAAAAAATAATAAGAGAACAAAAACACAATTAGTCCACAGTTAGTATTGCAAGAACTAATGAGTCTTACAAGAAATTAACACTCATTTCTAGTTTTATTCTAACAACAAAAAATCCACTTTAAATGCTATGTAACAGAAAAGGTACCCTGATGTTCTACAAGACCTCAAACATAAAACTATAAAATACCCTAAATCAAAAAAGCAATGTAAGTCTCCTATTAGTATATATGTTAGGCTCAAAGATCAAAAATCACTCATTGAGCGAAAAAACGGCCACGAAGCAAAATTTGTGTCGTGATTTTCATTATATTTGACCACAACATGTTCAGGTTAGGTTAGGTTACTTGGTTACTTTTCAACATGTAATCAATTGTGAAAAATCTGTTGCAGTGCTCGATATGTCAACGTTTTCTAACAACTGATTTACTAAAAATAACTTTGACAGGAACTTTTATTAATAAATCAGTCTTTTTTATGAGAATCAAAAAATTTTTTCAGTTATTTATTTTTACGAGAAGTATTACCGTGACATTTCGAGTTGCATTTTGTTCTTTAAGCGACATTTGCATTTTTTATCAATACAGTGTCTTTTACAGTGATGCATTATAAACCCTTGCTTACTTCCAGATGTTAACGTGGATGCTGAGCAAAGTGTGAAGTTCATGGGACGTCCTGAATGTTAATAAAGTTATTCTCAGAAATTGTAAATTTATTACGAGCATAAAGCGAGAAGACCTTTGTTTCTTAACTGATAGAGACCCAATGGATTAATGCTCATAACAACAGCTAAAACATTTCTGGGAGCTACATGTCCCCAATCAACATCAGGCACCCTAACTAAAACATTTGAACCAATTTCAACCTGTCCGAGTAACCTAACCTGAATGCATGGTGGTCAAATATTATGAAAGCCACGACACAAATTTTGCTTTGTGGCCATTTTTTTCATTCAGTGAGTGATATCAGTCTTTGAGCCTAACATATACAGTACATCAAAGTGATGAACCTGAAAAATTAACCATTAAAAAGTGTCTATGGTCAAAATGATCCCATGATACTTAGCACAGGTTAGTCTATCTGAAAACATTTAAAGAGTTATTATAATTAACAAATTGCTATGTATACAAATTAATTGAATTCAGTCTTGCCTACAGATTTAATGAATGGAAAAAAAACTCAATGAGAAAAAAACAACCAAGAATGCATTGTGAGTTTATAGAAACAACCACAACAGGAAATTTCATTTTTTGGCTGCTTATAAAGTGTCATGATAAATTCTGGCATTTTAAAAAATGCACTGGTGTGAAATTTGTATCATGACTTAATGCCGAGATGCATTGTAGTCTTTTTTTTTTTTTTATCAACATACCACAATGCATTGTAGTCATTCATTTCCTATTTATTCTGTAGTAGTAAATAAAGAGATAAAGTTCTGGATATATGACTAAATATGTATAATAATCAAGAACAATGGGCAAGTTCAATTATTTGATCATGCCAAGGAAATAAATGACATAACTAATTTACACAATACAATAATTTCATACTAGTCTTGTATATTTCTTTCATTTTATCCTTAAAGGTCATTTCTGAAACACTAAAGCAAATGGGCAAGCTCAATTATTTTTGCAGTTCCTGCAAAAATAATTGAGCTTGCCCATTCATTTAAAGTTTAAAATTACAGTTGATATATTTCAAATGTCATTTACACTTTTAATCTATGCAATATACCTCACAATATAGTTTACAAAGTCCTGATTACTACTAGACATTATATTTGAAACTGGTAGAAGAGATAATGAACTTGAGGGGACATCATGTACATCAATGTTGTTCTTATCAGCTGTTATAAACTCTCTATGAGCACAGAACAGCTCAAGTATGCCTTCTTTGGTACCTTTTGGTTCTTTTATAGTGTTTAGGACAGAAGGAATATAAATTCCTTCTATCCTAAACACTTTATAAAAATCTGCTGCTAAGAGACAAAAAGAGCTTTTTTGTCTGTGTAGGCTTAGATCAATAACTGGAGAACATGGTTGTTCTAGTTCAATGGCATATGGATTCTTGAATTATTAAACAAGATTATCCAATAGCATTAAAACCAAATCAAGGACTCAGAATTAGAGATTACAAAATTTAATTTGTGTAATTACTTGTTCAAACTAATATTTTGAGTTTTTTGTTATTCCTTATTCTTAAAAATTTGTGAAGTCCCAAATTTAATATCAATATTGTCCTGTCATTAACTGTATCATCCTTAGATTGTGTGTTATATAATTAGTTATAATTAGGTTGTTTATCCTGTAAATTAGTTATGTCATTTATTCCCTTGGTATGATCAAACAAATCAAATTATCGTCCTAAATGATGTAAAATGGGAAGGCTGATAAATCAAGCCTTTTACACACTAAATACACACAAAGTAGAAGGCATGAAGAAAAAGAATAGTTAAGATAGCATAAAAGTATGTAATGTGAAATTTATAAAAACACAATTTTTAATAATTTCATATTAGTCTTGTATATTTCTTTCATTTTATCCTTAAAGCTCATTTCTGAGACACTAATGGTTTTGTGAAGAAATCAACTTGACCATTATTTAAGGAATTAGATATGAAATCTAGCAGAGACATGTCCACTTTTTTGATCATAAATCACATAGAAAAGACATTTCCTAAGAGCAGTAGATATAGTATAAAAGTAGATATAAAAATTCATACTAAAAGCTATAAAAATATATTGGAAACAAATAAGTGAGAAACTCAATCAAGATTAAAAAATTTTATTTTTAAATAAATATTGATATATTTTATTGAAAGAAAATATATTAATTTAAATATGAAAAAAGTTTTGACTCAAAGATATTTTTATGATTTCTAAAAAGTCTCTTGGCGACTTTCGATCAAATCACTTAACTACTTCATAATAAATCATAAGTTGCAAAATTGGCTGGCAGACAAGCCATTCCATTGTGCAAACCACAAATAATTAAAAATTGTTTTTGTTTTCTTTCTTTTCACACATAGCCATAGATTACCCATATCAAAATATGATGATGATATTTTTCTTGTATATTATCTACTAGTCCTAGTATTTTTTAATTTAGTGTTTGATGATGATGCTTTAAAACTGCATTATACCAAGAAAATGATAATTAATTATAAACAGTTATTTAATAAATAAATAAATAATGTTAAAACAAAAACTAACTGAAAGCAAGTTAATCAGGGATTGTCTATTCTTGCTGGAACACATTTTTCAGTGCAGTCATTTAACTTCTCACCAGACAAAGAAATCAGCTCCATATTAATGTAGTGACTGAATATTTCATAAATGATTTTAGCTAAAACAAACATTAAAGAACATGTTGAGTCTGTTCCTCATATTAATAATTTAATAACAACGAAGAAATTTTTGAACATTAACTATACGGATTTCTATATCCAATCATGTATTATCCAAATATAGAAATAACTTATAATTTATTAAAAAACTAGATAGATTTGACAATTTTATTGTATGTTTGAAAATTTTGCTAAAGCTATTCATTATCATTTTTTCTCATTTCTATTACAATATCCATTATTTAAATAAATATATATTCTACTTTCCTAATGCACTAGTGCTTAAGCTAAATTGCATCTGTTTAATCTGATTAGAATATCAGGATATAAAAAATCAATTTTCTAAATGTACTAGCACAATATTCCATCTTAAAATAATAAAGTATCTAATTTATAATGTATTACTTCAGCACAGTTACTCATCAAAATGAACTTACAAAAAACTTATTTTAATAAACTTTATATTAAATTATTTTTGTGCAAGATTTTGTAAAAATTGTGCTGATGGGTTGATTCTATTTGTAAAATAGGATAGACAAAGTGTATACCAAAAATTTTAATGAAAAAGAAAAAAAATTCAGATCTTTACATAATATATTTAATACATCAAAGCTTTTCAAAATATCATCTCAGGAAAATTAGCCATTTCAGCCCATTTGTGGAGTTTTTGTAGTCTTCCACAAACTATATTCTTTATATATGTCAGATTAAAACATCAGCTTATAATTTCTTTCTTTTCAATTTTATAGTTTTAAATTTTACGTTTATTTTTGATATTTCTTGAATTAAATGTGAGATTAGAAACTCAATGAGAAACTCTCTCTTACATAATCATTTAACATTTAAATTTGATAGGATGCTTTAGTCATGAAAAATGTTATTAAAAGCCAATAATAATTTTAGAATTTTATGACGCAGAGATAATTATTAGGTAAATTTTAATTACTGTTAATGTTTATGTAATTCTTACAAATGTATTTATGAATAATTTGAGACTACATTATATCAAACAGCTGAAGTCATTTCCATATTTAAGGTTTTCTTCAATTTATTGTTAGTTTTCATAAGAAAATAATTGCTCAGATCTACACTAGATATATCAAAAGAAGAAAACTTATCTACATAGAAAAATAAATAATATTTTAAGAAATTTTAGTACAAAATGAAGTAATTAAAATATTAATTACCTTTTAATTTAGTGCGAACCCTATTGGCAGTTTTTTTGATATCGGCCATCAGATCTTCTAATTCTTGTTTCACCTCTAAAATTTTAAATTCATTTAATCATAAAATTTTAACCATTCTTATTTAAGTTTAAATTAATGATTTTCTCAAATATTTTTAATAAGAACTGAATATTACCAAATAGTGAAGTATAAAAATATGAAGTATACACAGAACTTTTTAAATTCATATTAACACTGACTAATTCAGTTATTTTAGTTAAATAACTCAGAAAATATTTAAACACAATAATTGGAAAAAAGTTTAATTTTGAAATTTTGTTGTTAACATTTTTCAATGAGATTAAGAATTTTATAATTCAGTTTTATGAGTAAAGTATACAGTATAATTATTCTAATTTAGAAATCTTTCTGGAACGTTGTCATGTGTGACCGATGTCATCATTGTAGACTTGCGCATTATCAGTATTGTGTTACTTTAGAGTTTTATTGAGGAAGGCTTTCCATGTTGTTGATAGCATCATTTCTTGTTTGAAGTTAATGCAGTGCTTATTCCTGAGGGTGTTAAGGTATATGCATTTGAGGTGTTCTGTGCAAAACATGGTGTGAATAATTCTGGATAGAGGGAATAGCAGCTCTATTTTCTATTCTAATTTATTTATTATTACATTACTTATAACTGGCAAAAATTTAAAAGATATAATTATAAAATTTAAGTATTTTAAAAAAATATTGATGTTTGAAAGAAAACAGGTCTTGTTTGTTAAAATTCTTCAAAATTGCTATAACAACAAGAGACAATGATGAGTTCATGAACCTTCATACTACATTTATTGTATACATATTGTTCATATACTATATTCCAATGGGAATATTTACAATCATACACTTCAAATCTAATATACCTTTATATATGAAGAAGAATACGTTTCAGATTAACAAAATTAAAGAGAGAACAACTATATGAAATGATCAAGAAATGGAAATATAAAAAGAATGTTTTGTTTAAATATTTATCTTAGAACCTTATTGCTAAAATGGTTAAAAACAAGTAAGATAAAAAAATGTACTGTAATATTAAATAGACAACTGGGAGAATTTCAAATATATCTTAAAATGGAATATGCATTTGGTGTTTTTGAAAAATTAAGAACAGAATTAAAAAATTTAGATATTACTTTAGTACCAAATCATACAAGAACCATAGAAAAAAATTTAATTTATTCATTGGATTGCAGTTGTTTACATAAAGATATATTGGGGAAACCGGAAGAAAATTAAAGACAAGAATTAAAGAACCTATATATGCCATTAAAAATAATTTAATCTCGTTGTCAGTGCACAATATTGTAATAATGAAGGGTGTGAAATCATTAAAGATAGTATTAAATTTATACTGACAGAAAATAATCAAATAAAAAGAAAATTACAAGAACATATAGAAATTTTGAAAGTGCATGAAGATGAGAAAATGAATAACAATGTGGAATGACATCATATTACAAAACTTGACAAGGCAAAACAGATGATGGAATGAAAGTCACATCATAGTGTAAAGGAAATTGTAATAAAGCTGCTAAATTTGGCTTTTTATTATTTTTATGAATTTGTTTGAAGATCTTATTTTATTATTTTAATAACAGAAAGGTGTGAAAAGATTACATTAGGACAAGATATCAATCCAATAATATTTAAAGGAAAACTAACTATTAATAATGTAAGTTTTTAGATTCAATTCATCCTTTTAAGTTTATAATATAATTGACAATAATTTATTATTAATAGTTGAATTATCTCTCAAAATTTGGAAAAGGAGAGAAAAAAAGAGAAATTTACCAGTCATGGATAAAATATAACTCATCATTAAAATTTATATGCTCAGTAGTTTTTGGTTTTAGTATATTGTAAGGTATTAGTTATATTACTGTATGTAAACAGTGCACTGTATATATATGGGAAATGTTTTAGTCTTAGTTTACTATTTATGTTATGATGGTCTTGATGGATACTGGTGTCTATACTGTGTGAATGTATGTAGGCTGATGAGGGGTCTTTGTACCCGAAATGCATTCCTACTAAAATTTGATTGTAATTAATTAAAGGCTATTTTTAGTAAAATCTAGACTATTTATTCCAGTCAACCTCTGATATGATAAGCCCTTCAATTTATTACAACCCTATTTATTAGGCTAACTAATTCTATCTAAAAGAATATTTATATTAAATCATTTAATAACAAAGTTGGTAATGGGTCAAGCAATTCTCAATGACTAAGACTAATTTAATTAATAACCAATTAAGAAATCAATTAGAATTTACTGTATTTCAATGGCATACATCAGCTCCTACTCAACTAATTTACAACAAGGCCTGAATATAGAACTGGCAGAAATACTGCTGGTCTAGATCTTGTACTCTGAACTATTAAACAAGTGGAGAGGAGTGAGTGATCGATCATGTTACTAGCTCTACATTGATATGCAAAGAATCATATACTGTGCTATTTATTAAGTCAAACTATTATTTACAATTAATGAGAGAAATTGCACTTCCATTCTCTAACTATTGTTGTGAAATCAGGCTTATGATAGCATCATAATTTTAATGCATTGTTCCAAATGACATTGAGTTAGGTAACTCCTGTACTTGTTTGTTATAATTCATGTAGGGAAAATGGGATGGTTTGGAAACCTGCAATTAGCTGGGAGTCCACCAGTTGAGTAAGGCTGGCATACATTATTGAGAATAAAATCTAAGTTTAATAATAAAATGAAATTTTATTCTATAAAAATTACAAAAAAATTTATTAAATTTTATGTCTTATATTATATATTAGACTTATAGTAATTATAAAATGCATACTCTCATCAGTTTGAGGGGCAGAAAGGATGGCACTATGCTTCTTTTTAACTTCTTCCACATTAGTTTGAATTTTATCAATATTTTCACGAACTTCTTCAACCTAATTGTCAAATAAATAAATAATTAACAATATGAACATTGAAAAAATCATATATATTCAGTATATCTTGCAAAAAATAGTTTCATAATAAATTTCAAAATTAAAAGTAATTTTTTATTTGGAATATAGGACACTTTCTGTAAAATTGTAATAAAGCTGCTAAATTTGGCTTTTTATTATTTTTATGAATTTGTTTGAAGATCTTATTTTATTATTTTAATAACAGAAAGGTGTGAAAAGATTACATTAGGACAAGATATCAATCCAATAATATTTAAAGGAAAACTAACTATTAATAATGTAAGTTTTTAGATTCAATTCATCCTTTTAAGTTTATAATATAATTGACAATAATTTATTATTAATAGTTGAATTATCTCTCAAAATTTGGAAAAGGAGAGAAAAAAAGAGAAATTTACCAGTCATGGATAAAATATAACTCATCATTAAAATTTATATGCTCAGTAGTTTTTGGTTTTAGTATATTGTAAGGTATTAGTTATATTACTGTATGTAAACAGTGCACTGTATATATATGGGAAATGTTTTAGTCTTAGTTTACTATTTATGTTATGATGGTCTTGATGGATACTGGTGTCTATACTGTGTGAATGTATGTAGGCTGATGAGGGGTCTTTGTACCCGAAATGCATTCCTACTAAAATTTGATTGTAATTAATTAAAGGCTATTTTTAGTAAAATCTAGACTATTTATTCCAGTCAACCTCTGATATGATAAGCCCTTCAATTTATTACAACCCTATTTATTAGGCTAACTAATTCTATCTAAAAGAATATTTATATTAAATCATTTAATAACAAAGTTGGTAATGGGTCAAGCAATTCTCAATGACTAAGACTAATTTAATTAATAACCAATTAAGAAATCAATTAGAATTTACTGTATTTCAATGGCATACATCAGCTCCTACTCAACTAATTTACAACAAGGCCTGAATATAGAACTGGCAGAAATACTGCTGGTCTAGATCTTGTACTCTGAACTATTAAACAAGTGGAGAGGAGTGAGTGATCGATCATGTTACTAGCTCTACATTGATATGCAAAGAATCATATACTGTGCTATTTATTAAGTCAAACTATTATTTACAATTAATGAGAGAAATTGCACTTCCATTCTCTAACTATTGTTGTGAAATCAGGCTTATGATAGCATCATAATTTTAATGCATTGTTCCAAATGACATTGAGTTAGGTAACTCCTGTACTTGTTTGTTATAATTCATGTAGGGAAAATGGGATGGTTTGGAAACCTGCAATTAGCTGGGAGTCCACCAGTTGAGTAAGGCTGGCATACATTATTGAGAATAAAATCTAAGTTTAATAATAAAATGAAATTTTATTCTATAAAAATTACAAAAAAATTTATTAAATTTTATGTCTTATATTATATATTAGACTTATAGTAATTATAAAATGCATACTCTCATCAGTTTGAGGGGCAGAAAGGATGGCACTATGCTTCTTTTTAACTTCTTCCACATTAGTTTGAATTTTATCAATATTTTCACGAACTTCTTCAACCTAATTGTCAAATAAATAAATAATTAACAATATGAACATTGAAAAAATCATATATATTCAGTATATCTTGCAAAAAATAGTTTCATAATAAATTTCAAAATTAAAAGTAATTTTTTATTTGGAATATAGGACACTTTCTGTAATAAAGAAGTTCAAAGCTTATTTTATATAATAATATTTATTATTATTATTTACTGCTTTAAAAGGAATATATTTTGAGTAAATAATATTTATATTAAGCAATACAATACTTAATAATATATTATATATAAATGTAGCAGCTATTTTTAAATAATAAAATTTTGTAAGTAATAGGTACGTGAACAAATTATTTTATATAATTTGCAGTAATTTGGCTAACTTTTGCCAAGTTTTATATATGAAAGAATTATTAAAGGAATATTATAGCAAAGATTATACTAAACATCATGTATTTAATGAGTCATTTATGAAATTAAAATATCATAATTTAAAAGTCTTTATTTGACATTGAAATATTTTAATTCCCAAAAAAATTCCAAATATTGAATAGTAAACGCTAAAAGTCAGTATAATCATAATTTTAACATTTTCATTTTCAAGCAAATATTTGTATACATGTGTGCATGTTTATTATTAATTAATATGTCCCAAATATAATTTAAAAATCAAACCGAAGACAATGTTTTAAAAAATTAATTAAAAAATAACATCATCTTTAAAACAGAATAGAAACTATTTCTTTGTATCTGTTGTTTTTTGAAAATAAAAACCTGTTATTCATTTTCAAGAGAATAAATTCAGACAGTACAAGTATTTGGAGGATTTGCTTATAATGGTTTAAAGTATCATTAATTTTAAATGAGATTTATTTAAAAAATAAAAATTCCTTATTTAATTTAGAAATGTATTTAAACTTTCTCTATTTTCTATAAGTAAAACTTCTGAATATGTAAATTTATTTACTTAGAGATATTTTTTTTCTCTCTCCTCAAATATACAACTCATAGATATTTTTCATTGTGATGTAAAATGCTTGATTTATTATCTAATAAAATTAAGAAATCATTTTTAAAAGATAAATATTTTTAATTATCTAATATTTTTGTAGCAAAATAACTTCTTTTTTTGTATATATGAATTTAAAAATTATAGAATAAAATTAATGATTTTAATTTATTTAAAAACGTTTGTACTAATTTCAACAGATTAAAATTACTGTAACAAAATTCTTAAATAAAATTAAAAAATATTGTCATATAGTAAAACCAAGTCTGAACTATAGAATTAACCAAATCATAGTCAAATTAATTAATTATCATACTAGAATTTGGCTAATGAGCTACATAAATAGTTCATTAGCCAAGTTCTAGTCTGATAGTTAATCCAGCCTCATTGTTTATTTATAAAGAATCAAGAAATAATTTCAACAGTTTGTGTATATAAACAAGAATTGGATGAGCAAGTGCCCCAGTTCCTGGTCCTGCACAAAGAAAAATAATAAATAAATAAATAACATTTAAAATATGAGAAGAAAAAAAAGAGCAATTCAGGAAATAAAATACAGCAGGACATACTTGTAAATAAAATGTAAATTTAATGTAGAAAACACTACAGTAGAATATTTTTAAAATTACATAAATATAAAAATCTGTATTTTCAATTTATAGCATTTAGTTTATATTTTAACAAACATTTGTTGCTACAGGGCCTTTACATAAATATATATATTCCTGATATGAATACCACAGATAAGCTGTTGACATCATAAAAATTTAAGATGGGCTGTCCATAAATGGCATCCACACTGGAAAGGAGAGAAGGGTTTATGACAAGTTAGACAAGGGAGAGGGGGTTGAGTGTTAGTGGGTATCCATTTATTTCATTAAATTTTGTACAGTTCATGCATTTTATTATATTTATTTCAAAATTTCTTGTGTTTCATTTCTACTTATGGTATCTATCATTCCGGGTCAAGTTTTGTTGAACATCCAGAGGGCAGGGGTTATGGAAATTTAGACAAACTGGGAAAGAGGGTAAGCAGGAGTAAAACTTTCAAGAAAAATGAAAACATAATTTATATACAGCCCCTTATTTTAAAAATTTCAATTTTTAGTAGTGGCAGATCCAGAAGAACCAAAAAGGGCTAACTCAAAAATTAAAAGTATTGAAATAATTATAAGTACCTTATAAGTCATGCACATGTTAATAAACTGTGGATGGTCCAATAAACCATATTTGCCATCATAAATGTTTTTTAAAACAACATTTTGAAGTATGAACAAATGCGCTTTAATATTTTCTCTTGTCAATGGCAAGGCTTAAAAACCTGTGTATCCTTCCTGTGGATCTGGCCTTTGATTTTAAGAAATTATAGCAAAAACAAAAACAGAATCTTCAACAAAAATTTTGGATAAAATCTAAATCTTTGCAGTCAGAGCATCGTCATTAGTTCTTGTATTAATTGATAAATTTTTCTAAATTTCATCATCATTAAACCTTGTATTTGAGTAAATAAATTTTATGTATAGTATATTCTACATTATTACTACTTTTTCTAAATAAATGACTAAATAATTAATTTTGAAAAATTATTATTCTTGAATCTACTTATTTTTTTAAATCATTATCAATTATATATTTTTATTTTAATGAGTGATATTTAATGAACTATAAAAATTGTCAAATCTACATCAAAATTATCCTCATTACAATATGTTTAAATTTACAAATTAACCCTATATGGACACATTAATGGAGACATTAAAAAATAAAAATATAATAATGGTTTCTGCACTTGATTAACAGATTTCAAATAAGAATTTAGGCCAGCAAAAATCTTAAACACTCATACATTACATTTCAGTTTTTAAATTGGAAAAATATACAAAAATTGCAAATGACTTTATGCAATGTTTATATATGGTTTATATCTAGTATTACTGGTTTAATATGCCACTGGATATTACACTAGCAATATTAAAATTTTGGGAAATTACATATTGTAAAATATACATGGGACTCAGATATTCTGGAAATATCATCTACAGATTTATTATTTTCTCCTATTCAAATTCCAGTAAATTTATATTTCAAAAGACAAAGCTCTAATTTCAAATAAAATTTAATGGTTTAATAATTTTTTATACTCAAGACAATACACAACATTTTACAGTAGAATAAATAGTACTGTCCTAATTTATATCTTGGAACAAATGTTTTATAGAAGAATATCTCAAGTTATATTTCAATTCTCTATTGAAAAATTTGGGACAAACTAAAATTCAAGAAAAAGGTAAAGGGGCTGTTGACATTTGTTAGACTTGGCAATATCAACAAAACAATCAATTCATATAAATTAGGGTTATTATATATGTAACTTGCTATCCATACATGTCCTCTTTTTGAATGTAAAATTTTTGTCTGAATAAATTTTTATAAATTTATTAAAAAGATAAAAATGTATTTTTTGAATTTTCTTTTCATTATAAAATAAAAAACATAAAATATTTAGTCTTTACATTACTCTTTAAAATCAAAAAGTTTCTTAGGTTGTCTTCTTTTTTATGATTAAGTTATGGTAACTCTATATAAATGAGAAATAAATGAAACTGGAAATAATAATAATACTTGTAGACTCAAGATTAGATATAAATGAATTAAGATATTTTTCCATAAAAGATTAATACTAAACCAACGGTAGACACTAAATACCATTATGAAGATCAAAGACATTACTTTATCATTTACTCTCAACAGATATCAGATTTGTATTAATTCCATTTTTTAGTAATACTCAAGAATGTAAAAATTAGGTCAAACAAAAATAAAAAATAATAAAGAAAAAATCATATATATAGAATAATAAAAATGAAGGTTAAAGTCCTTTTCTTTTTTATAAGTAATAGTGTTTTTTTCCATTTAATAAAATTTAATTTAATAAAAAGATAGAATAAGATGTCAACTTGCCATCTTTTCTGATAAAACAAAAATAAATTATAAATGAGCATAATATTACTTCATGTTTTTCATGAATAAAAAAAAAATTTATACATGTAAAAATTAAGAATTATTGTCTATATCGTCTGATGTAAGGTCAAAATAAAATTATTGACACAGATAAACACAATAAACACAGTTTGCTAAAAGTATTAATGTAAAAGTATATTTTTAGATAAAACTTCTAAATTTATATTTGAGAAATATATCATTAATTGCACAAAATTTTGTTAATGAGAAATACTGTAATTTTTGGATATATTGGGATGCCTGAAAGACAGTAAACCATTGTAAAGATTAAATTACTGCCTTATTCAAATATCTTATTACTTACAAACTTTACAAAAATTGTTGAAAATAAAATTTTGTTCAGCATAAATTACAATCCTCTGACACAATTTCACAAATTGCTGGTCATAAATCTATCGCTATCCAATAATTTAAAAACAGTCCACCGACCTTCCGACCATCCTTATTTGCTCTCGGATGATTTTTTTCTCCCATTAATTAAAAACAAGTTAATAAGATCTAACATATCTGAAAAATTCACATTTAATTTTGTTTTTAGATCATTTTTCATAGTTTTAATTTCAGTTTGAAGTTGATTCAATTTCAGAATTTTTCTCTGGTCTGTTTAGTTTTTCAAAAACTTATATAGTAGTTTTGGATTAATATTTTCTTGTTTCACTACTAATAATTTAAGAAACTCAGTTTGATATTTTATTTGTTTTTTATTGATACATAATATCAAATCAAAGAAAAATGTACCTGCAAACATTTTGATACATTTTAACACAAACTGTATATGAAATGTTATATGATAAGGCTGATTAATTTAGTATTGTTTGGAAACAATTATTAATTTTTTAGTTGTCAAAAATGAAGATTAGAAATGTCAAATACAAGCAATTTTGAAGATATAACCTAATAAGAGAACAATATTACATCAATGTTTTCCAAGTGATATTATTAATAAAATTGAAAAAAATTTAGGATTTGAATCTATAAAGTAGAAAATTAAA